GTGCAATATTTCCTCCCCATCAAAAAAAATAAGGGTTCTCAAACTACTGGAGAGGATTTTACCTGCCTTTGCACACTGCTTTACAGAGTTTCCTCTGAAGTTATATTTTTAGGCTTGGCAGAATTACGTTGGGGAGAGTGGGGGAGAGAGAGATTACTATTGATGTTTGTTTTTTTGTGTATTTTCCAATAATAGGTTGAAATGTTCAGTTGTGCAAAATTATGGGGGGCAAGTCAAACCATTATTGATGTTGAGATTCAAGAATTTAAAGTGATTATAATAAGTAAAAAACAAATTGTCAATTTTGGAATTATTTAAGCTCAGTACCAATGTGGACACAAGAACAAATGGATATAAACTGGCCACCAGGAAATTTAGACTAGAAATTAGACGAAGGTTTCTAACCATCAGAGGGGTGAAGTTTTGGAATAGCCTTCCAAGGGAAGCAGTGGGGGCAAAAGATCTATCTGGCTTTAAGATTAAACTTGATAAGTTTATGGAGGAGATGGTATGATGGGATAACATGGTTTTGGTAATTAAATATTCATGGTAAATAGACCCAATGGCCTGTGATGGGATATTAGATGGGGTGGGATCCGAGTTACCCAGGAAAGAATTTTCTGTAGTATCTGGCTGATGAATCTTGCCCATATGCTCAGGGTTTAGCTGATTGCCATATTTGGGATCGGGAAGGAATTTTCCTCCAGGGCAGATTGGAAGAGGCCCTGGAGGTTTTTCACCTTCCTCTGTAGCATGGGGCACGGGTCACTTGCTGGAGGATTCTCTGCTCCTTGAAGTCTTTAAACTACGATTTGAGGACTTCAATAGCACAGATATAGGTGTGAGGTTTTTTGCAGGAGTGGTGGGTGAAATTCTGTGGCCTGCGTTGTGCAGGAGGTCGGACTGGATGATCATAATGGTCCCTTCTGACCTAAATATCTATGAATCTATGAACACCACATCAAAATATGCTATATACATATCCTTAACTCAAACTAAGTTCTTAAGCAGCATTTTTCTCACTTTGCCTGTCTGTAAATTTCTTTTATCAATGCAAATATTTTTCCCTCAGTTTGTGTGCATTTGATAAATGTTTATTTCACCAATAGAAATCAAATCCTTCCAAGCCAACATACGCACAACCCAAAAGGCCCCAGGTACCTCCCTCTAGACATTCTCTGCAAAATTGTAATTCAGCGAAGTCCAAGGATTCCCCGGAGGGAATACAGCTAGCTCGGTCAACCATAAAGATCATACCCAGGGATGTACTGACATTTTGACAGTTTCCCTGAAAATTTCAAAGCTGTATTAACTCTGGATTTGGTTGTTCAGCAGCTACTTTGGTTACTTTTTAAATCGATTTTCCTGGTAACCATCTCATCTCATCTGTTCAAAGCTGAGAGCTTTGTCTTGTCAACTCCCCTCGTTTTTGTTTGTTTGTTTGTTTGTTTTGGTTTTTTGTTTTGTTTTGGGGGTTGTTTGTTTGTTTGTTGTTTTGCAGGCCCAAAGTGTCCCTTTGCCTCATTCCAGAAAAATCTAATTGTACCGTTCAGGTAGAACATGCTGTTCCCAAAGACAGAAAAAAGTTAGGCACAGCAAGGTGTCTTACAACTCACTGACGGAATGCTTCTTCTGAGGGACCATTCTAGGTGGGAAAAGTAGATCCGCCTCCATGTGAATTTTAATCCATGGCCTTGTTTTCAAGTGTCATTGAGGCATTCTGGGATGCAGACACCTGTCCACTGGATTGAGACCAAAAGCTGTTTCATATAGGTCATTGAATAAACATCAACTGTGAGAGTTTTCAATGGCTACTGATTTTAGAGAGATGAAAATGTAATTTCCCATTACTAACATCCAATCTAGTTCTTGTTAACTCTGTGTCAGATCATGTTGCTTGTTCTTGGCATTTTTTTGATGGCTACAGAAGTCTCCTAGAAAGAGCAGTCACTGCAGTAGGGTGAAAGATCTGGATTTCTCCAAAAAGCTTACTTTTATCAAAACTTACTCGCATCAATACCAAGCAGTTAAATCAAGGATGAGTAATACCCATTAGTCAGAATGACAAATGGTGTTTTAAAAATCCAACGTATAGGAGACACATCTCATTTAGCCCTAAAATATTTGCATGCCATGGCACTAAGACTTTTCTGAGTTTCCGTGATCACTGAATGTCCTAATGGGAAGGTTTAAGTGAACAGTATTTTATAATAATTCAGTGTTCTTCACAAAAGATTGTGGGAAGTTTTCTGGAGTAGTTGGATGAAAGAATGAGCTCTAGGAAACACTTCAGGAAGAACCATTATATTGCTTGACAATATATAGTAAGGAAAGAGAGGATAATTGACTTTCCAAATGCTCTTACAGAGCAATAGAGAGAAATATCTAAGTAGTAACAATTTGATGTAAGCATCTGCACTTCACTGTAGAGTTTACAAATGTTTTTCTTCCAGGCATACTTTAGTAGGTACACTGTGCCGTGCTACACGGCTACCTTCAATTAAGATGATAAACCTGTAAAAAGGTTTAATATCTTTCTATAACTATCACCACATTTCTTAGGGTTAATTTATAATATTTTGGGTGGGGTTAATTTTTTAAAATGATTAAATGTGCAGCCACCTTCTGCAAAGCCCTTTGACTGGAATGCAAATGAACTTTTGTGCTTATAGCAACCCTACAATATCTAATACAGATTGCCGTAATTTCTTAGAAAGCATGTCTATTAATTTCTGATTTCTTAGAAACGCGTCTATTAATCACTGATTATCAATAGTTACCTATAAAAGTTGTCTTAATGGAAAGTGTACTCCAAAAATGGGCGGAGACCAGAGAACAGGTTCTCGATAGCCAACATAACATAGACCATCCTAAAAAGTGAAAAATGAAGGCAATCCTTTTTCCACGAAGGCTGAGATTACCTTTCTGTATGAGTAGTATTACACACATTAAGATAAGGAGGACTTGTGGCACCTTAGAGACTAACCAATTTATTTGAGCATAAGCTTTCGTGAGCTACAGCTCTAAGGTGCCACAAGTACTCCTTTTCTTTTTGCGAATACAGACTAACACGGCTGTTACTCTGAAACCACACTTTAAGATATATGCAGTATGTATTATTGTATAGCCCAGATCATCAAAAGATGTTTGGCACCCACAATAGGTTTGTACTATTGTCACAGAAGTGCTGTTAACTGTGTGCTGATATTGTGGTTGGCCATAGCACCCACTTCAACATTTGAGAGGACTGCTTATTCTCCTGCCATGACTAATCTGCACTGTTGTTTGCTTATCATGGTGCCAGAAAGCTGCAGCTTAGATCCACTCCCCATTGTTCTAGGTGTTATACAAATATCTAGTCCCTGTACCAAAGAATTTACTGTCTAAATAGATGAATAAGGTGGGGGAGTAGGGAAGAAGTAGTATCATTCCCATTTCACAGATGGGGGAACCGAGGCACAAAGATTAAATGACTTGCCCAAGTTCACATTAGGGAGTTGGTGGCAGAGTCAGAAACTAAACCGGCATCTCTTTTGGTCCCTGTCTCTTACCTGTAAAACCACTCTTCCACATCCTGCTTGTTAGGGATGCATAGTCACACGACACATGTCTTCAAACGTATCCTGTGCTCCTGGAGTCCCCCTGTGGGTGGTCGGAGAGCCAAACTCAAGCTGTGACACTTCTGCTCCAGCTTACCCACTTTGCTTCTGTCTTTAATTGTATGCACGTACAAGCGGGGCGGGACTCTTCTCACTAAAAGAAATTCTAAATATAACCTCTGTAATGTGCAGAATGTTTGTTTGATCTTCCCTGTGAATTAAATTAAATATACACTGAACTGTTATCTGCAACCTGCCTGGTCACTGGCACACTTGTAATGCTGTCTCTGTCTCTATCCACCAGCAAGTGAGGTGTAGGTGAAATGGATTTAGGTGGATTAAAATGAAAGCGTTAATTTTTAAAGGTATCCTAAATGCATAGTGCCATATTCTCTGCTGATGTAAATTGGTATTGATACACTAAGTTCAATAGGCCAATGTCAACTTACTCCAGTTGAAGATCTGGCCCTTAATACAGAGAAGATGGGAGCTGATATATCAAATTGCAATACTTCTTTCCAAACAATTTGTCTGCTCTCTTGACAGACTTATGATTTCATACCTGTGCAACTATTATTAAAATATCTTTCAGACCTCTGGCTTTGTCATTCCCTTCAGGCATTCCAACCGTATCATATCTTCTTTCTCCTGATAAATCACCACCATCTTTATTCCTGACAATTTTGCATCTTCCTAACAGCCTGGATTTTTCTCCTAATTCAAAATATTTGAATAAATGGGGACTTCTCTTAGCTCCTGTAGTGTAATGTATTTTTATAGTGTAATATAATATAGCAGTAAGTAAAACATCCTTGGCTTATTTTCAGAAATAACTGGTGATTTTGGTGTGTCCAAATTTCAGGTACTCAACTTATCATGATTCGGCGGAGGATGCTCAGTACTGCCTGAAAAATCAAGCTCCTTTTTAGATGTCTTAAATTGGGCACTCAAAATCACTATTCATATTTGAAAATCTAGGATACTTTTTATTAAAAAAAATTAGAAACCAAATATTTAAATCTCATTAGTTTCTTTTAGTATGTGGAGCGCCTTGACAACCAATAAATGACAGGGAACCTGCAGGTAACTTAATATATATATTTAAAGATAATAGAGTGCCTACAATATGTTCATTTAAACTACTTATGGTGGCTCAGTTCAAAATTACTGTGCATTAAAATCCACTGAATGCCACAAGCCTTCTAAATTAGGAAGAACATGTCAAGCGATATGTGGAAATGGGCTCTTGTACAAGAGTAGTTTACAGTGAGAAGAATGAGTATTGTTCCCTGGAGTACATACATCCCAGTTTGGTAATTCCGTACCAGCTTTTACTATTTCTCTCCAAACACTTATTGTCTTTTGGGTTTTTTTATTTGTTCCATTGTGCATCTCTATTAGATATTTCTCATGGGCCAGCTATCAAGAAACACCCTGCTGTGCTGTGGTGTGGCGAATGAAGGCATTTTCAACCATAAACAAGGTATTGTGTGGTTTAAAAAAACACCCTGACAATGACAAGTCTCAGATGGCTTGTAATTGTTTAAATGTATCTTACTTGTATTGCTTAGAGATATAGTGTCTTTTGAGAAACTGACCAATTTGACAAAATATTTAAATGATCAGGCTGCTACAAGGTAGATTAGAAGATGTTTTTTATGAAGCATGTTGCATGCTTATTTGGTGTGGTCTGTGAATCAGTCTGTATGTATCTTTTTTCCTAAGTCTCTCTTTCAAAAGAGACTATTAGATTCCTAAGTCCTATTGACTGTCAATTAGAGTTAGGCACTTACCTGTATGGGACTTAGCCAGTTAGGCACTTTAAAAAGGTTGGGGTAAAATTTAATTGAGTTCAAGAGTAAGGCTTGACAAACTTTTTATTCTCATGGATGAATGTTTACTCACCTGTGGGACTATTTGCATGCATAGGAGATAGCTAGCATGACAAAATTCTGTAATATGGCAATATATTGGCTGGCTGAATTCATTATTTGCCTTTGATTTTTTTTTTTTTTTTTTTTTTTGGCTGCTGGATGGTTATTTTGTGATTCTCCATCTGATTAATTGCTAGGGTGCCTAGAACTTTTTATAAGGGGTGTGTTATTTGTTGCCTAAATTGCAATGATTGATTATTCAATGGATAGCAGTACAGGAAACTGTATCATAAAGATGAAGGAATAACAGGACATTCACTGCCTATAGTATAATTAAGAATGTACTCAAAAAGCAATTGAGAGAAACAATATTAATGAGGTCTAAAACCATTGTCTACAAAGAAGTAACAAGATCTGCCTCTAGGTAACAAATGAACACTTGGGACCTACATTCATCATAATTGTTCTGATGCTTTACTGGCTTAGACAGTGTGTGTGCCTGCTTTCCTGTGCAGATATTTTGTCTGGGGAAGGACACAAGGGATGCCCATTCCTTACACACCTGAACTAGGTTCTGAGCAAAGTAGTAGTCCCTGTGTTTATGGTGTGTAAGATCAGTGCCACAGTCAGCACTAATTGCCCCGCAGCTAGTTCCACACTGGCCAGGCGTGTAGTGAAGCAGAATGCTGCATCCTCTTCCAGGATGGTACGGTGGCTGCATTACCTGGAGCTCGGGGAGGCAGGTTACCTGTTTTTGAGGTGTGACTCTGCCAGAGCTCCCCCTGAAGTGATGAGCCCCCCTCTCTCAGCCCCAATATGTGGCTGTGCCTTAAAGGCATATTAGAGCCCCTACTTTCTCTTGTTCAAGTCACAGTTGCGTGATATCTGAATCAGAGGCCACTCTTGACCATGTTGCCCCTAGTAGTCCTGTTTTTCCATCTGACGGTTCATGGAAACGGCATAATAGCTTGAGGTTTTTGAGTTATCCATTGGACATTAGTTATGCCTGTGTGCAGCCTCTGAAGTGAGGGGGTGGTATTGCTTCAGAGTCCAGCTGTACCAATGCACAGGCATTACCAAGAATTATCTAGAGGCACATCTTTGACCCATGAGTGAAGTCTGAGAATGGGCTTAGCACAGAGGATTTCTGCAGGGCTAAGAGGGGCAGAATTCCCCTTCCTCCACCCCCTCACTCCCAGACAGGATATAGACTACCTCAGTGCAGCTGTTGCAGCCCATGGACCATAGTTGCAGCCCATGGACTAAACACACTCGCTCAGTGGCCAGCTTTACACTGCAGTGGAAACACAATGGTCCTGTTGCATCCAGGAACGTCCGTCACCCAGTCATTCCTGCATCAAGCTTGCATCTTGTGGCTGAGCTACGGCATATTGTTTCCGAAGTTTACAAATAAAGGCTAACATGGGTGTTACAGAAAGGGAAATCATTCCTCAGCTTCTCACTCCTAACCACTAAATTCACCTACATACTATCTTATAGCCTGGGGAATTCAATTCCATTTTCTTTGAAACTTACCCCTTGTGTCAAAGTTATTTTCGGTTTCTGATCACTCTTGTAGTCAGATATGTGACAAGATCAACCAGTGGTGGTCACTTTTTTTAGTCCTCCACTAGATCCCCTCATCTTGCAAACCTCATCCTTCTTCCTCCTATATTTGCATTTAGGGCCCGCTTTCATCTCAGGCTCCCATTCTCCTCATGTGGCTTCTCCTATCTCTCTCTCTCTCTCTGGTAATCCCCTCTGCCAGCTTCTCATACAAGTGCAGCTCTTCTAATCTAGCGGAGGAAGGTATAACACGATCCAATGGCTGGAAGCTGGAGCTAGACACATGCAAGCATACATTTTTGAGAATGAGGGTGATTAACCAGCGGAACAATTTACAAAGGGCCATAGTGTAACCATTTTTAAATCAAGATTGGATGCTTTTCTAAAAGGTATGCACTAAGAATTATTTTGGGGGCAGCTGTCTAGCCTGTGTGCTACAGGAGGTCTGACTAGATCAGTGGGTCTCAAACTTTTTTACTGGTGACCCCTTTCACATCACAAGCCTCTGAGTGCGACCCCCCCTCCCAATAAATGAAACACACTTTTAACTATATTTTAACACCATTATAAATGCTGGAGGCAAGCGGGGTTTGGGGTGGAGGTTGACAGCTTGCGACCCCTCTTGTAATAGCCTTGTGACCCCCTGAGGGGTCCCGACCCTCAGTTTGAGAACCCCTGGACTAGATGATCACAATGGTCCCTTCTGGACTTAGAATCCATGAATTCCCCTTCTCTGGTAACACTACCAGAGACACAGAAAATGGAGATACAGAAAACCATAATCACCTAATCTGCTGAAGGGCTGTCTGCCTGTAGGCAGGAGAGTATAGCTGCAAATCCTGCCCAGTGGCACAACACACTTGCCGGAGGGGTGTTGTTGTTTGGTTTTTTTGACAAAACAAATATCAGACTTTTTTTTTAAAAGGCAGTGGACATGCTTGAATCTACTGCCATTTTGAAGACAGGCTTCTTAAGGTCTTCAGGAGAACCTATAATACCTTCATACTGCAGAGGACTGTATCTGCCTTCTAAAATGAGTGACGTGTGGGGCGTGATCCAAAGCCCACTGAAGTCCAAGGGGAATTTTTCCACTGACTTTAGAGGCTTTCATTCAGGCCCATATGTTTACATGGTCCATCTATTTCCTTTGATTTCTCCCTTCCCCCCGCCCGCCCCGCCCCCCGACACACACACCCCTGCCCCCAACCCCCAATATTTGTGGTGGTTTTCACTTAAGCTAAAAATTTAGCATGACATTATAACTTTTTTTTAATTGTATGTGCACAGTAGAGAACACGCATTTGATTAAAAATAGACATCAGTTTCAAACAGTGAGGGGAAAATACTCTTAAGGTTGGGGGAAGAAGAAAAACCACTGTGCACAAAACCCAGTAGCTATGCAGAACCCTTTTACTGCTTTTCTTCCCTGCCCTTATCTCAGCTGCAGAGCTGAGACTCAGTGGATTTCTTTGAAACAAAATTAGCAAACAATGGTTATGTCTGCACGACAGCTTATGCCAACATAATTTAGGTTGCTTGGGTGTGAATAAACCACACACACACACACACACACACGCCCAAGCAACCTAAATTACTCTGGCATGAGCGCTCATATGCACAGCACTATGTCGGCAGGAGAGCTTCCCCTACCAACATAGCTTCTGCTGCTCTCTGGTGGGGGTTTTTTTTTATGCCAACAAAGTTCTCGCCCATCGGCATAGAGCGTCTTCGCCACGCATACTACAGCATCATACCTGTCTCGGTTCAGCTGGCCACTGCAGCACTGTACGTATAGACATGGCCTTAGTTTGATTTGCTTGGCAGAACATGGTTTCAGGTTTAACAATAGGACAACCAGCTCTGTGTGTTGCACCAAAATTACCGTAGCCAAACATACAGTGACTCCTCACTTAAAGTCGTCCCGGTTAACGTTGTTACGTTGCTGATCAATTAGGCAACATGCTCGTTTAAAGTTGCGCCATGCTCCCTTATAACATCGTTTGGCAGCCACCTGCTTTGTCCGCTGCTTGCAAGAAGAGCAGCCTGTTGGAGCGAGCTGGTGGGGGCTTGGAAGCAGGGTGGACCGGCAGCCCCCCCATCAGCTCCCCACTCCCCTAAGTTCCCTGTGCAGCAGCCGCCCAGCAGGCTATCAATTGCCAGCAGTTCTGCTGTCCCTCCACCCACTGCCATGTGCTGCTCCTGCCCTCTGCCTTGGAGCTGCTCCCAGGAGCCTCCTGTTTGCTGTGCAGGGGGGAGAAGAGGGGTACTAATGTCAGGGTGTCCCCCTCCCCCCTGCTCCTGTCCCCCGCTTACCCCATCTCCATAGAGCTGGGGGTGGGCACGACAGGGCTTAGGACAGAGGGAGCTTGCTAGCAGCAGCTGCTATCTCAACTGGCTGATCTCCTTAAAAAGGCAAAGTACTTAGAGTGGCGTCAGCAGACTTAAAGGGGCAATGCTCATCTCTCTCTCTCACGCACACACAGGGTGTGTGTCTCTGTCTCTGTCTGCCGTGCTGCCTCCCCTCCCTCCATTTGTGCTGCCTTGTAGAGTGTGAGGCTACATTAACAACAGTGTGTTAACCCTTGAGGGCTCAGGCGAATGCTAGGTCATCATTCAGCACTAAGGCATTCCCTGGGAAATATTCCACCATTTGACTCCACCACCTCAACCAAGCTTCACAATCATCATTGTTGTGTACAGTATTAAATTGTTTGTTTAAAACTTATACTCTGTGTGTGTGTGTGTGTGTGTGTGTATATATATATATAATGTAATCTCTTGTCTGGTGAAAAATTTCCCTGGAACCTAACCACCCCCTCACCCTCCCACACACACATTTACATTAATTCTTATGGGGAAATTGGATTCGCTTAACATTGTTTCACTTAAAGTCACATTTTTCAGGAACATAACTACAACTTACAGGAGTTACTGTAATCCAATTAACTACACTGTATGATTTCATGCAAGTATGTATGTTACAGTTGTATGGATTGTTGCAGAGTAGCAGCTGTGTTAGTCTGTATTCGCTAAAAGAAAAGGA